CCCCAAAACCCCAAAACCCCAAAACCCCAAAACCCCAGAATTCTAGAAGATGTAGCTAAAAGTAAATTATTTTTAAGAAATAATTAAAATGAATACATCAAGTGAAAACGAGACTCCCTCAAAGTTGTTAACTAATGATGAAAATACCTGCCATATCAACAGAGAATATGGAGACAGCCTGTATTTTGCAAACAAAGCTGAATATATGGAGAAACATCCACCCATTATGGCTGAGGGTAACCCTTTTGTGGTCAGAAAGAGCACTCATTACGACGAGCATCATAATGATAGCATGGGAGCAGTTAATTGCTTTCTCAGGGAAGGCAAACTGTATAAGCAGAATAGAAAAACTAAAGAGCTTGACACTATCTGTGAAGAAGCCACCTTCATCTTCAACCCTATTCAGGAGAAAGAGGATGAATTTGAAATAACCATATTTAAGAATGGAAAGATAGGGATTGAAAAGCCCATCCATCGCATATCGATGGATAAGGTTTGCTTTTAACAAGATAGATATCAATTTTGAAGCATTCATTTGGATCATAGGTCCAAAACCTTACAGGTGAGAAATCTAGCTTTCAACTATATCAGTTATTCTAACTCCTTTTAGACCTGAAAAAGGCTCAATAGGGACACAGTATATTTTTGTGTTCAACTGTATTGATGATGTCAAAGATTTTTCACTTGAATTGATCAATTCTAAGATATCCAAGGTAACCCTGCTCAATAACCCATAGACATCAGGAGCAAATGTTAAGGAGGATATCTTTGATTTTAACCGCGAAAAACTCAATTCTTCTGGACATAAGCTCGAGTAACTTTACATTCCTAACTTTTACAGTTGAAGTGATTTCCTTTACCAAGAAAATTTCGAAATAGACCGTAAAACAGCTAGGTTTATCCAGGATCAAGAAACTGCGAAGAAAAAGAAACTGTATAAACCCATGAGCACCAAGTTTGAATCCAGTTCCAAGGTAAGGTTTAAGATCTGTTCAGGAAATCTTTGCAAATTTCGACCAAGGATTCAGCAGGTCCACTTGGTTTTAGTTAAATTTTATTTTATCACCTAAAAGTGAAATAAAATTAAGTAGTCCTGGAGGTAAAAGTTACCTTTGGGGAGTTAAGGGCATACCACCTATGGTGAAAATAACATGTAACATATCTATTTAGGGGTCAGACTCTCTCTGGTCGTTCTTCTGATGCCAGACAAACATCACAATTGATTAATTCAAAGCTAGACAACCTTCAAACTATCATGGCTAGAGTTCCAAGAGCACATTTGGACTCATTTTCTGTTGATCAGAAGTATATCAGAATCACTTAAGCCATCAAGGAATCCATCATGAGGGCTTGAAGGAAGGCTAACTCTAAGCCAATTACTATCTATTTCAATAGATCTTCTATAATTTGGGGTTTTGGGGTTTTGGGGTTTTGGGGTTTTGGGG